TCCTCTGTGTCACCCTTGGGACCCTCGGGGATGGATCAGGGTCCCCCTGTGTCACCTTTGGGACCCCCAGGGCAGCTCAGGGTCCTCTGTGTCACCTTTGGGACCCCCAGGGGTGGCTAGAGTCACCTTAGGGACCCCTGGGGACAGATCAGGGTCCCCCTGTGTCACCTTTGGGACCCCCAATGATGGATCAGGGTCCCCTGTGTCACCTTTGGGACCCCCCAGGGCAGCTCAGGGTCCCCTGTGTCACCTTTGGGACCCCCAATGATGGATCAGGGTCCCCTGTGTCACTTTTGGGACCCCCAGGGTGGCTCAGGGTCCTCTGTGTCACCCTTGGGACCCTCGGGGATGGATCAGGGTCCCCTTGTTTCACCTTTGGGACCCCCAGGGCAGCTCAGGGTCCCCTGTGTCACCTTTGGGACCCCCAATGATGGATCAGGGTCCCCTGTGTCACCTTTGGGACCCCCAGGGTGGCTCAGGGTCCCCTGTGTCACCTTTGGGACCCCCAGGGCAGCTCAGGGTCCTCTGTGTCACCTTTGGGACCCCCAATGATGGATCAGGGTCCCCTGTGTCACCTTTGGGACCCCCGGGATGGATCAGGGTCCCCTTGTGTCACCCTTGGGACCCCCAGGGCAGCTCAGGGTTCCCCTGTGTCACCCTTGGGACCCCCAGGGACAGATCAGGGTTCCCCTGTGTCACCCTTGGGACCCCCCGGGATGGATCAGGGTCCCCTTGTGTCACCCTTGGGACCCCCAGGGGTGGCTAGGATCACTTTTGGGACCCCCAAGGACGGGTCAGGGTCTCCCATGTCACCTTTGGGACCACCCAGGGGTGGCTGGGGTCACCTTTGGGACCCCCAGGGATGGATCAGGGTCCCCCACCCGGGGCTCTTGGGATCCCCACAGGAAGCTTGACTTTCCCTGGCCCGCCCCCCGCCCCCGCAGGGACCGGGAACGAGAACGGGAACGGGAACGTCGGGAACGCTCCCGGGAACGGGAACGTCGTCGCTCGCGCTCGCGGGAACGTCGTCGTCGGACGCGGAGCCGGGAAAAAGAAGAACGGGAACGGAAAAGGGGCGGAAGCCGGGATCGTAGTAAAGAACGGGATCGGAAACGACGCAGCCGATCCCGCGACCGTAAACGGGATCGGGATCGGGATCGGGATAAAAAGGATGAAGGTCCCGAATCCCTTGAACCTCCTGAGGAATTGGGGGGTGCAACCGATTCCGGACCCCCGGATGGTTTAGGATCGAAAGGGGAAACGGAGGAAAAAGGTCGGGAACGGGAACGGGAACGTCGTCGTGGGCATCGGGAACGGGATCGACGTCGTGATAGGGATCGGGATCGGGAACGTCCGGAACGGGAACATAAACGGGAACGGGAACGATTGGAAAGACGGGATGAAAGACCCCCGGGATCTGGTCCCGAGGCGGGGGATTCCCTGGGGGAATCTGGTTCCGAGCTCTTCCTCCAACCCGAGGCCATGCCGGCCTCCGATGGCTACCTGGGGGCTGAAAATGGCTACCTGATGGAGCCCCCCCTGGAGTGAAGGATTGGGGGGGGGCTGCACCCCAAATTCCTTCTTCCCCCCTCCCCTTCCCTGAGCGACACCCC